TCTCTCTCTCTCTCTCTCTCTCTCTCTCTCTCTCTCTCTCTCTCTCTCTCTGTGTCTCTCTCTGTCTCTCTCTGTCTCTCTCTCTCTCTCTCTCTGTCTCTCTCTCTGTCTCTCTCTCCAAGCTATCTATCTATTTGTATGTCAGTTTAATGGTCTATGTGTCTATAGACGCGCGATTAGATCGAACACTGGCTCTGTGCAATCGCGGTGTGCTTGGGTGCATACGAGTATCTAAATCTATCTGTCTGCCTATGAATTTATGTATGTATGGATGGCTAGGTGAATTGGTCGATCTCTAGAGCTTTTTGATCAGCATACCGCCCTCACTTGCATTCATCTATCTGTCCATTCATCTATCTATCCATCCATTTACTCCATCCATTTATCCGCATAGTCATTGCCAATCACTTTACTCGTTTGTTTATCTGCCGATCGATCTGCCTGGCCACCTGTCCGTCCATCGATGATTGGATCGATGTAATGACTCCTCTCAAGGGATAAGTCCTCTATCTGTTTATCTATCTATCTACCTATCTATCTATCTATCTATCTATATCTTACCAACTTATCTATATCTCTCCGTCTGTGCCTCTATTCGTATCTCTTCTTCCCCGTCTGCTCCCCTCGCTAGAGTTCTCTCTCTCGCCCATCGCGTTTCCCCCCTTCTGCCTACTCTTTCCACTCTGTCCCCTATTCCCTGCCATGTAAGTCTTTTCTATTCCTCTATCTTTCTTTTGATCTAATCAACCTTCCCCTCCTACTGAACTACGATCCAATTACCAGATCAGCGTATCTTTTCCTCCGTCTTGTTTCCAGTCCTTCTCCTCTCAGCCGTTACTCCACGTCATCAACCTGTCTCCAGGTCAGCAAGCGCGCGCTCTCATCCTCGATGTACCCGCGCAATCAATTGGCATTCCCTTTTGGCGGGAAACTCGTAACGAGGGCCATGGAGAGTCGGCCGCTCTCTTGGCTCCACTCTCCACAGTCTCCGTTTACGTCTCCCACCTCCGGCAAGGATTGTTGTACTTAGTGTAATTTAGCGTCCGTTACCGTCCGTTATCGTTAATATCGACCGTTCCATCTAGACCGTGAATTTCGCAACGATGGCGATGCACTTCAAAACAGTACTTAACATTTAATGCTAGTCTACTTCTCACAGCTTACATCCACTCTCCACGGTATAGATCATGGCTCGAGCATCACCCTTGTCGTCTCAGGCATCCTACCTTCGTTGCAAATGAGATCCCCCCCACAATCCCCCCCCCCAATCACCCCCCGAAGAAAATGCGGAAAGGAGAAAGCAAGAATCTTTAGCAGCCCTAATTACAGAAAGAGAGGAGGAGAAGCCGAATCCGTACCGTCGATACACATTTGCGCCGACAGGCGGAAAAGTGCTTGAGATGGGTCGCTTGACGCTTCTCAACACACTCTCCGTTATCTTCTGCCATTTCTGGCAAGCAGCCCGTTATCGTCCGTTCCGTTTAGACTGTGTACTTCGCGCCAAGGGCGACAGACGTCAAAATGAGCGCAAAAAAGGAAAAGCGAAAACCAAAGCGCGGGCAAGTACCGAAGACAAAAACACAGATATGGAGGAGGAGAAACCGCGGGTGCAGAAATACACGAAAAAAGTATTTTTGGGGCCTGTGACACTTTTTGCCCCATTTGGGGGAAAACGTAGAGGGGAGGTTTTATAACTTTTCCACTGCGTTTTGACCGCGTACTCCGAGATCCCACTACCCTGGATTATTCATTTTTAACCCTCAATCACGAAGATCGACGGTCAGAAATGAACAATAGGGGCTAGTGGGATCTGGCCCCAATTGCCATAGACATGTGAAAGAGCGCAGAGGAAAAGAAAGACGCAAAGCGCGGGCAAATTCGGCCGGCAAAATATACGAATAGGGGGAGGAAAAGACGAAGCTGTGATTATGTGTGATATCAATCAAGGAAAGCTGCTCGAGTCGGGGTTCTTCACCGACGTCAGCTTGCGACGAGCCTCAGTCGTGTGGAGAAATGAGTACACTGACGGACGCAATAAGGAGCAAAGCAACGGAATGTTAAGAGGAGGCGGAATATGTATGCGGAATGAAAAGGGACCTGATACGTATATTAAGGGCCTCGCCACACAGGCTTTCGAAACGTGAAAACGACAAAAATGTGCCAGGCGCATCTGGGCATGTTCTAGCGGCAAGTTCATTCTCGTTTTGCACATTTCGACAGCCTGTGTGGCGAGGCCCTGAGCGGGCGCGAAGCCGCGTTGTCTGATATGTACAGAGCGTCCGACGATCATCATATTCTGCGCATGGCAGCGTGCTCCACCTCATACAGGGTCTCGCCGTACGGCACAAGAAACGAGAACGAAACGAGTGCATCTGCCCACGAAAGGTGGCAAAATACACTCGTTACTAGTTATAGCAAACCGAAGAACCTGGCGATTTTCTGCAGGAAGATCCACTCGTTTCGCTTTTCGTTTCGTGTCCCGTGCGGCGACGCCCAGACACAAAGAGAGAGAGAGAGAGAGAGAGAGAGAGAGAGAGAGAGAGAGAGAGAGAGAGAGAGATCAACGACGCCTAATGAGAGACGGAGATCTATGGTATATGGCTGGAGTAGGCGGAGACGCCAGCCCGTCCGTCCTTCCTCTATGCCCTGAGACTCTCTGAGGGCACGCTCACACTGGGTACCAAAACCGTAAGGCCCCCAAAAAATTGTGCACACGGCTGGTCACACACAATGGTTCCGACCCCAAACACCGCATTTGCGAACCCATTTGTCAGCGGCCTGCCAGGCCGCGGGTTTGAGGAAGTTGCGGTAACCTCCGCAAAATCCTTATTCTTTTTTTGATTAATGTTTGTAAACGAAAGCAAAGTTGAAAACGAAGATTTAGGCCCTCGCTGCACTACTCTCGACATGCACAAAAAACAAAAATCATGGCGGTGCATCTTTCCATATTCTAGCGGAAGATTCACTCTCGTGCAAATTTTGAGAGTAGTGCAGCGAGGCCCTTACACCGTATATCAATAGCAAAAGGGGACAATGGGTAAATGCGGTTACTTGTGGAGAGGTCAGGCGCGCGTGCCCATTTTTTGTTCTGTAGTGGGTGTGCTCAGGTTTGTTTTTAGCCTGCCGAAGTCGTTTGTCGCTGTGAGGGACGGTCCCGCCGGTCCCGTTTTTTCATTTTTATTTTTTCAAGTGTGCTCCGCAGGACATCCGCTCGCTTCCGCGTATCTTCCGCCCGCTCGCCCGCCGATGTCCGGTTCACCGAAGATGTCGCCGAGCTCCCGTCGCTGATGACAGCCATGGCCGTTTTCCAGTGGCGGTGTAACCCTTGTGGAGTGCACGTGCACCGCTCTGTCCTGCCTGCCTTTCCAACCGTTTGACGTGGACTTCCACGTCATTCGAAAAAAAAAAAAAAGGGAAAACGGCAGAATTAAAAAAAATATACAAAGAACATGTACGTTCTCCTAGAACTCGTCCAGATACAGCGGGACGAAGAAGATAGTAGTCGAGATCTGGTGCCCAGACGGCAGTGTCCAGCCGTTCTGTGCAGGATGGCCGAGTTCAGGAGAGGATGGAAACGTGCTCCCACTTCCCATTACACGTGGCAGCCACGTTGTTTAGTGCTTGTCACTCGTTTTTCTTGTTCTGGTTGACCTTGTTTTTTTTTTTGTTTTTTTTTTTGTTATTTATCGGACATTTTGTTTCCTGCCTTTTATCTGAACAAGCACGACAATCCCTGCATGGCTCGACCTGCATGGGAGAATGCATAGGCTCGCCATGGCGTCGTCGAATTCGTCTTGGCGGGGGTGTAATGCATGATGGCACAACATACCTGATGTCGAGGTGGATGGCACACGGCTGGGCGCAGGAGGGTACATGGCAGGTCATATCAGAAATCGAGCGGGAGTGCATCTGGCAGGCCAGATCCGAAATCGAGCGGGATGGCATCTGCCATACGATATCTGAAGGCCCGTGGGATGCACTCCCGCACGGAAGATCAGCTGTCTTGCAGGGAGGCAAATCGCACGGGAATGCTTCGTCGAGGGGGACTGTGGCCGGGGGTGCACGACGTGGTGACCTAGTTGTGGATATGGCTTCTGTTTTTTTTTTTTTTTTTTCCTCTTTCTTTTCACTTCTTGGTCATTAGAGGTATCGTGACGGGTGTGGAGAGCTTGCCGCCTGTCACAAACGGGTACATAAAGCGGTTATAGTATGGCGATGGTGGAAGTAGCTCGGGGATGCCACACTGCAGAGGGCAGTGTTGGATGACGTGCCGCCGGGAAGGCTTCATCGCTGTGTGGTTGCTGCGAGGAAGACAGTTTTTAGCGGAAGGCTTCAGTGCAGGGTTGAGGCTCTCTCTCTGCGGTACACGGGGAGGCTGCAGTGCGGAATCTTTACACCGGTGTAGCTCTATCTTGTTGCTTAAAGGCAGGAGAAGGTTCTAAAAAGGCGACAATGGAGAGCGGTCGGCTATGGGGGAAATCTTACGAGGAGCTCCTCCAATCCGACAGCGGGCCCGACGGTGGTGGACAGCTGTCATCCGGCATGCATGGTGTGCAGCCATCGTGGGGATATTCTGATGGCACGACAAGCAGGGACGGCGATCTGTTCACCCCGCCAGCCTCTGAGCTGCCCACGCAGCAGCTTTCAACACCATCACTGTGCGACATCACCAGCGCTTGTAACACTATGATGGGAGGTCATACTCCTTTGACTCCTCGGGCTCTGTTGGGGGAGGGGACGCATGTGGGGGCGGATGCAGTGTTCACCTCTGCGGCACAATACATGACGCCGAACATGCCTGCTGGTTTTCAGAACGCCCACTCTCGTGGGCCGCTGCCGTCACCAGGTGGATCATCGTCCTCACCAGGTGGACCATCACCTTCGCGTGGTGGGCCAGCACATCCGGCTGGTGGGCTTCCTCAGCATCGAGGAGGGAGGACGTCAGGGAACTTCGGGCAAGAAGCAGGAATTGACGAGCGGCAATACGGTACGGAAGAAGGAGAGGAAGGAGATGATGATGAAGCTTCTGAGCCTTCTAATGGAGGAAGGAAGAAAGGGAGGGGTAGTGGCTGGGATCGCAGCCTCGTCATTGCTCTTATAGAGGCTAAGAGGCTGGAGGCGATTGACCCAGAAGCACGCAAATTCGACGGTGGGCCTTTGAAGTGGGAGGTGGTCGCCCGAGCAGTAAAGAGGATCAGCGGAAGAGCAACTGACAAGAATGCTGCTTTGTGCAAGAAGAAGTGGAATGAGCTGACGTCGAAGTAAAGGCAGATCTTGGATTGGAACCTTCGGTCGGGGAAGCCGAAGTACTGGGAGATGACGCCTGCAGAACGGAAAAATGCGAAGCACGCGGAAGGAAGAACGAAGGACATTCTGCCGTCGCATTTTGACAGGGAGCACTGGGACATGATGCACACCTTCCTTGGAATCAACAATTCGAACACCGGAAAGCGAGTTCTCGATGCGCATGACCAGAACGTACGCGCACAACGTCAGAACCTGCGCGGGGGTGAAGGATCGTCTACGTGTTTTGAGGATGGAGTGCCTTTCCCCTCCACTCGAGATGGCAAATGGTTGTTCCCCTGTTCCCAGGGGCCCATCAATGAGAGTCTGGTATTGGAAATGTAGTGAGGGCATACTCACACAGCAACCCCAAATCCTCATAATAATTTGAGAATTTCTGGAAGGCGGATTTGGGGATCACAGTGTGCCCAAGTCGGTAAAGACACGGTCGCGGCCGGCACACAGC